TAACTTTTTGTGTTTTGTTATTGTTGAATGACTGATGAAATTTCAAAGTGGTTTCAACATTTTTCTGCGTTTGTTATAAACTTTTGAAAAGCATCACAAAACTGCGGAGAAAATGTATGAAAATTATCGCATCACCACAACTTCATGAGCCATTAAATAGTAATGAAACCCAAAAACGTTATAGTTTTTTATCTCAAACCCATCAATAAATTACCAAAAAATGATAAAACGGTGGATTTTGGCTATTCATGGGTGTGAAACATCTTTAATCAGCAACGCTGCACCAACTTCTTCAATTTTTCAGGTATACTGAGTCGTTTTATATGCCATGCTTGATTCAAAACTATATCATTTTTGATTCAATGAATTTTCATTAAAAATAACTAGACTGAAATGTAATTATTCATATTATTAAGTCGAATGCAAAAATTTTCAGATCACATGTGAGAACTACAGCTGCATTCAGCTTGACTTTATTTCATTCCTTATCCTTATGTTCCAGCGAAATATGATTATAACATTATCGTTGGATTAATCATTGATAATTTCTTAAAATTATAAAAGTGTTTTACAGAACGTGAAATAGGATGACCTTGTCCAATTCAACGTCCCATTCCAGGCAGTTTGTGGGTTAATTTACCTTTTGCAGAAACTGTAACGACAGGAGGTTTTCCTTCTTCGTACAAAGTCAATACGCCCTCAGCTGGACCATCAGGAATTCCTGGTGGCACTTTGTCAGATGGAAACACCCAATTGTCTATTTCCCAATTTGCGTTCTAAAGGTAACAATGATATTTTAGCTCTTGAGTTAATGAGTAAATTAAGATAATTAATTTAAGGGAAACAAATTTTTCCAGGGAAAAGACAAATACTTCATTAGCTGGAAAATATTAAAATTGCTGGAAGTGACTAGAGCGTTTTGAAGGAAAGGTATCGATAAATATTACCGCTTTGATTGGACAGTGCTTAGGAAATTCTTCTTTTGGTAGACCATGCTCTATTATTCCTTTTCCAATTATTTCATCTTCCAAGCCGTCACATATTGAGGTCTCGAAATTCACCACTTCCATGCC